CATTCATCTCAGATGCCCATTTTTGGATTGGGTCTTTAAATTTGAGGGGTCTGATATTTTTGAAGTCTTTATATGTTCTAGATAGTAATCGTTTGTCTGAGGAACACCCAGCAAACACTTTTTCCCACACTATGGGTTGTCTCTTCACTCTGTTGCTGGTTTCTCTTGCTGTGCAAAAAGCTTTTTAGTAAGATGAGATCCCAGTTGTTGATTCTTTGTGATAGTTCCTGTCCGATCAGGATTTTATTCAAAAAGTCTTTGCCTACCCCTATATCTTCAAGATTTCTACCTTTTCTGCCTTCCAGTAGATTTAATGTTTCTGTTTTAATATTTAGATCTTTGATCCATTTTCTGCATGGTGAAAGAAATGAATCTAATTTTAATCTTTGGCATGTGGAAAGTCAGTTTTTCCAGCACCATTTATGAAAGAGGCTTTCTTCCACTGAATGTGTTTGGCACCTTTGTCAAAGATCAGGTGGCTAACTTGTTAATGTTTTTCATTTTCTGGTACTGGGAATCAAACTCAGGACCAGTCACTGTGCCACTGAGCTATATCCCTGGGCCTTGATTTTTTTTTTTTTTTACCTTGTTAATTTTGGTAAAGTCTGATTAGATGTCTAAGAAACCATTGCCTAATCCAAAGTCTCTAAGATTTACACTTATGTTTTTTCATCTAAGAGTTTTACAGTTTTTATATTTGGTGCTGGGGCTTGAACCTGCAACCTTAAGCACTAAACACACACTATACTGTTGAGCTGACCCTCTGGCCCTAAAAGTTTTATAGTTTATACTTCTATTGATACCTTTGATCTATTTTGAGTTAATTTCTGCATATGGTTTTATGAGGTTGGGGGAGTCCAGCTTCATTATTTTTATGTGACTATCATCATTATCTTGGCAGTGACACTCGTCAGTTGCAGTTTAAAACACTAAAAATACTGAGAAATAGAGTTTTTCCTCTTTTTGAAAACTTATTAAGAATAATTTGTCCTCAGGAGGTGGAGGCAGAGGCAGAAGGATCACAAGTTTGAGGCCATCCCGGGCAACTAAGCAAGACCCTGCCTCACAGAAGGGTTGGTGATTTAGCTTAGTGGAAGATGCTAGGTTGGAATGCACAGGACCCTGGGTTCACTCTCCAGTGCCCTCCCCCCATTTTTATTTTATTTAAATTCCAAAGGAAGTAACTGTGAAAATAGAAATCTCAGGATTTTACTTCAAGTTATATATTAGGGAAATACATATCCTCCAAATATTTGCTAAAGAAAAAGCATATCATAGCTATCCTCAATTTTCCATCTCCACATTCTTTGAAATTCTCATTGATATTAAATACTTCTTCATTTCTCTTGCAGCATCTAACTATATAAGAGACCAAAATAGGACTCATAGTTTTTTTGAGTAATAATCTTGACAGCTCTTTCATTCATGTTTTGTTTCTTCCCTTCAGGTAGCAAATTATGGAGTTGGGGGACAATATGAACCTCATTTTGACTTTGCACGGGTAAGTAAAAGAAATGGAGACCACGGCCAATCACTGAAATGTAGGCATTATACTGTTAAAGAAAAAAATTTTGCTAACACTTGACTAAGCTTGACTTCACATACAATAAGGACAGGTAGGAATTTATAACCAAGGAGCAGGGAGGCAATCAGTAAGTGAAAAATTACCCAAAAGCCTAAGGATTCTGGCTACCTGGACCTAACAGGATTCTTGTTGCAGTCAGGGCAGGGAGAGCATACGTTCCCTGGGGATAGTGGGAGATGAACCTGATTAGGTATCAAGGTTGATCAGATACTGAGGATGGGGATCCTGGCAGCACTGATTTGGTAGGACTCTTGCTAAAACGGGACAATGTAGAGATGAGCACAGAAGTCAAGGTATTAAAGTCTTTTGGTATTAAAAGTTCATAGCCTTTTTGAAATTTGTGGAAGTAGATATTCCAGAAGCCTTTCAGCAGTAAAAAACACCTGGGTATGCAATAGCTAAGGTGCTTAGGTAAGTAAGCCTAGAAGCAGGCAAAGGATGTAGCTAAAGACAAAACTGAACAAAGAGACCCAGAGCCTAAAATTAGACAGTTGAAGGAGGGAAAAATTAAAGCTGAGGCTGGGGGCACGTTCCTCTAGGAACCTGGGGCTTAGTGGATTACCGGCTCTGAGAGAAGAGCTGCTACAGTGTGCTGAACCTGAGACTCATGCATGACATCTGAGTCTCCAGAAGGGTGACATCTTTGTGAATAAAGGGTGAGTTTGAAAATAATCTGCTTTTAGGCAGGAGCTGAAGGAGAACAGTCTGTTTCTATCACGGGGTAGGTATGTGTGTGTGCTGCTTCTGAGAGTTTTAAAGGATAGGCCTGCCCTCATGTGATCCTGGATGTGAATTTTTACTACTCTGGAAGAGAAGAAATTAAAAGTTGTTCAGTTTGATAGTGGTTCTTTTTTTTTTTTTTTTTTTTTGGTTTTTCTCTGGTACTGGGAACCGAACTCACGACCTTGCACTTGCCAGGCAGGCGCTGATAGTGGTTCTTAATCTTGCAGAAACAAACACATCCTCCCTGAAGAGAAGCTTCTCATTCTAAGATATTTAGCTCATTCTCAGCTAAACATGGACTCATTTTTTAGAAATCATTAACTAATAATAAGGCACTGTTGGTAAGACTGAAGCAACCAATGTATTTAGACATCTCTAGGACTTCCGATACTATAGAAATCAGTCACAGAATGCAAAAGTAAGTGCATAATATGTGTGTGTGGGGAAGGGTGGGACAAAAACAGCATACTGTCAAAATGATTTAGCATATTTGAAAAGTAAGCAAAAGGAAATTCTTTTTTTGTTGTTCTTTTTTGAGACAGGGTCTTACTATACAGTTCAGGCTGGACTTGAGCTTACTTTGTAGCCCAGGCTGGCCTCGAGCTCACACAGATCCTCCTGCCTCAGCCTCCCAAGTGCTGGGATTACAGGTGTGCACCACCATGCCTGGCTAGAAAATTCTTAAAGAAAAAAATTGATGATATTTAAAAGGTAATGGATAAGTTAACAGTTTAGAAACAGATGAATTAGTGAAGCAATTACCAGACTACATTTTGAGATAGGAAGATAAAATACAGAAGAATTTGGATGCAGTGGTGCATATGTAGTCATTCCAGTAACTTGGGAGGCTAAGGCAGGAGGATCTCTTGAATCCAGGAGTTCCAGAGCAGCCTGGACAATCTCAAAAGAAAAAGAAAAACAAAAGATGTAAAAAGTACTGTTCTAGAGAGTAGGGTAGGGAATATTAAAACAGTTCTTTAAAAGTTTGTGCTGCTAGACAGGGACTCTTGGTTTAAGACTAATAAATATTGCTGTCTTTTTACTTAATATATTCAGCTACAAGTGATATTACTAAATCTTAATTAAGGTTTATTATACTTAAAATTCTAACAAATACACTACATTATCTCAATAAAGGTCTTGATGTATTACTCTTATTATTATTTTGTCTTTTTGAGACAGGGTCTCACTATGCAGTTCAGGCTGGCCTTGACCTCACCTTGTATCCCAGGCTTGTCCTGAACTCGCAATGATCCTTCTGCCTCAGCCTCCCAAGTCCTGGGATTACAGGCATGCACCACAAGCCTAGCTATATTATTACCATTATTAAAGAAGGATAGATTCTTTGGAAAGAAAACACAGTCTGTATTGTGTAATAACCCTTTCATGGCTCAGTCCTGGAATCCTGGGCTCTTTTTCTATGAAGACCTGCAAAGAATAGATTTTACTGTTACATATGTGAGAGGAGTTTTGATGATGTGAAAGACTACAGGGACAACCCTGACGTAACAAAACTAAATTGTATTGTTTTAGCTTTTTATTTTGAAATAAATACTGACTTATAGGAAGTAACAAAATGAATGTGCAGGGAGGTCCCACACACCTTCCCGCGGTTGGCCCAGGATCAGTACCTTGCAGAACTGTAGTGCACTGTCAAACTAGGAATTCGGTATTGGCCACAGAGTTTATTCGTGTTTCATTTGTTTCCGCGCAGTTTTGTCACATGTGTAGCTTTATGTACTTACTACCACAGTCAAGCTCTATCATTCTGTCACCAGATTCTGTTGCAGAATCCCACATACCCTCTGTCCTCCCATCCCTACCTCTTATAGCCAGTCTGTTCTGTTTTTAATAATGTTAATTCATGAATGCTACATGAATAGAACCGTACAGCCTGTATCTTTTGAGATTGTCTTTCTTCATCCACCACAATGGTCTTGAGGTTCACCCAAGTTCTTCTGTGCACCAGTAGTGAGCTCTGTCTGTTGCTGAGTAGTACGCCATGGTATGAATGTACCACAGTTCAGTTCAAGGACCTCTGGATAGTTTCCTGGCTAATGCCAAGAGGTATTTTAGTTTAGACTTAGGGTATGAAGTCTCCAGCATGATTAAAGTGTTGACTGTCCAAAAGAAAGTCATAATAACTCTAAATATTTGAGTTGAAAGTAAACCTCATTGTAAAAGTTTCACCTATGGTGAACAAGTTTCATGAATGTAGCTAAGAGGTGGCTCTTGTGTCTTATTTTTTGGAAGCTAAAATTGTAGGTATTAACTTTTAAAATAGTCTGTGGTTAGTTGATAGTGGTTCTCCTTGTTTAGGCTAAGAATCTGGTTATTTCCCCGCACCCCCCCCCCGATAATTGTGTCAGAAAATATCCATTGTACAAGCTGAATCAACAGTCAGCAAGTACTTGAGTGGTTAGTGTTGCCAATAGTCTATAAATTACATGGGAACCTACTGGGATTATTTTTGGCATATTCTTTAACTTACTGCTACTGATGTTTAGTTGTCACTGGAGTAGCTACTGGATTTTATACCACTGACTTTGTTGGGGGGTTTTGTTTTTCACAGAAAGATGAACCAGATGCCTTCAAAGAACTGGGGACAGGAAACAGAATTGCCACGTGGCTATTTTATGTAAGTGACGGCTACAATTTTTAAATCGAGATTTCATCACATGATTCATTTATTTTGATGCGTTCAGTGAAGTTTATTCAGCATAGCTCCTATTAACATTCTACTTTAAACTTTTTGTGACTAAGTAAAAGGAGTTAATAATTTTTTTCCATTTGCCACTTTTAAAATTTAGGAATACAGGTGTTCATTGTAGAAACTTGGGAAAAGCTAAAGAAGTAAATTAAAATTACTGAGAGCCCACTCTGTGGAGGTGATCATTCATATTTTCAAATATGTATATCTGCGTACACATTATATGTACATACACATACTATTTTAGTAAACTTTTCTTCTGAATTAAGTTTTTATTAAAGTATATCAGAATAGTGAATACATCTGGTAATCAGCACCCAAGTCAAGGAATAGCACATTTGAATACTTTAGAAGTCCCTCTAACAATAACCATCCTCATGGTTTTTAAAGTTACAACAGTATGATCTTAACTTTTACAAATTATTAATGTATTGGTACATGTAAACTACCTAGTTTCTGTGTGTGTGGCGCTGAGCATCAAACAAAGGGCATCACCAACAGTAGGCACATACTTTACCACCGAGATCTGTTTCCAACTTCAAAATTGTTACAATCATAAAATTTGTTCCAGTTTTCCATTGCTTGCACAGCAAATCATCCCAAAACAATGGTTTAAAGTAATGATCCTTGTAGTGTCATCTGTCGTGGTTGTGAGGTTGACTGGGTTCACCTTATGATTCCTGCTCTAGATCTGTCCTGCATTTAGTCTGGTGGTGTAGTCTTCTTGAAGGCTGAGGCTGGCTGTCAGCCGGCTTACCCACAGTCTTGGCCAATCCTTGTGGCCTGAGCTTCCTCACAGCGTCGTGACTGTATTGCAAGAGCAAGCATCTCAAAGGAACAACTCAAAAGTCATGGCATTTTATGACCTGCCCTCAGAAGTCATATAGTGTAATTCCTGGTGTATTCTATTAATTGTAGCATTTACAAAGGTCCACCTGAGTTCAAGGTGATGTAACATAGGCCCACTGCCATGTGGGATGCGTGTCAGTGTCATGTAAAGAGAGGATGCAGTGCTGAAGGTGTAGCTTAGTGGTAGAGAGCGTGTCTGCCTACCATGCATAAGGCCCTGGATTCGGTCCCCAGCTCCCGCCCTGCCACGAGCATGTAGGGTGAGACAGATCAGGACGTACTGGAGAAAGATGTGTTTTATATCTAGATTTAATTTTACGCATTTTATTATCCTTCCTCTGTCTTACCACCAGGTGAATTTTATGAAACTGTGTCTCTTTGCTATCAGTAGTACCTCCCTACCTCTCTCTCTCCGTTCAGTCTATATCCTCCCCTTCTCTCTGCCTCCTTTCCTATTTCCAGTGCACCTTCTCACCCTCTTCCCTTCCCTCCATATCTCTTTCTTACTTTCCCTGTTTCCATTCCCCTCACAACTCAGTTTTGTTTCCAAAAGAGTATGAGGTACACTACTAAGATTCAAAATCTTTTTTTAATTTCCAAGGGAAAACCAGGAGAGAAGCTGGTACAGTTTTGCTATGAAGATTGTGTACTTTGTAGACGTGAGTTCTCCAGAGAGCTGTAGCAGTTTACGTCTTGGTCTGTGTATTCGTCACTTATCAAGTTGGCAGTGATGGTGTGGTTCTAATTTGTGTATCTCTTGTTAGAGAGATAGAGCATCTTTTCAGATGTTTAAGAACCACTAATGTTTCCTTTGTTCCTGCGTTTGTTTCTTCACACATTTTTTTATTTTATGGAAAAAACAAAATTTCATAACAAAATAATTGGAGAATAACAATAGTTAATACATTGCATACTGTTATCTTCAAAGTAGTTACTCAGAGTATAAGATATAGGCATAAAAAATTCTCCAAACAATACTGGCACAAATCTTTCTTTTCATTGAACTAAGAAAAACTAGTAGTATAACTATCTTGCATTTTTTTTTTCCTTTCTTCTTTCCTTTCCCCTTTCCTTCATCCTAGTTCCTCTTTCCTGTTGAACAGTTTCTTCCGATTTCACAATATCTGCTGTACATTTTGGTCTTTATTTACCCTTTCAGTTTCTCACACCAGGGAGACAATACAATGTTTACACATGTGAGTCTGATTTATGTCACTTATGAATATGGTCTCAAGTTGCATCCATTTACCTATAAATGTCTCAAGTTTATCTTTCTTTGTGACTGAGTGGTACTCCATTGTATAAAAAGACCATATATTTTTTTAATCCATTCCTTGGTTGATGGGCATTTGAGTTATTTCCAAGATTTAGCTATTACAAATTGTGCTGCTATAAACATGGGTGCACTTATATTGCTGTTGTATGATGTTTTTAATTCTTCTGGAAAGATACCCAGAAGGGGAATAGCTGGGTCAAATGGGACCTCTAATCCTAGTTTTTTGAGGAATCTCAGTACTGTGGTTGCACCAGTCTACACTCCCAACAGTGGGGAAGGGTTTCTTCTTCCTCACAGCCCCACCAGCGTTTATTATTGGTTAATTTCTTTGTTTTCCTGTTTTTTTGTTTTTTTGTTTTCTGGTACCAGGAATCGAACTCATGACCTGACGCTTGCCAGGCAGGCGCTGTGCTGCTGAGCTAAATCCCCAGCCCTTATTGGTTAATTTCTTGATAACAGCATTCCTTCTGGAGTGAGATGGAATCTCAGTGTTGTTTTAATTTGCATCTCTCGTACGACCAAGGATGTTGGACACAGTTGTAATGGGGGACCTTAATACCCCACTCTCACAGTTAGATCAGTTAGACACAAATCAACAAAGAAATCAGAATTAAACTAAACCTGTGAATGGACTTAGATGTCTACAGAGTGTTCCACCCCATAACATCAGAATACACATTCTTCTCAGCTGCACATGGGGTGTTCTCCACAGTAAACCACGTTAGCCCATAGAACATACTTAAGTAAATACAGAGGAATTGAAATCATCCCATGCATATTATCTGACCATAGTGCAATGAAATTGGAAATCAGTGGCCAAAGAAACCACAAAAACTACATAAACACATGGAAATTAAACCACACCTCCTAAACAAGTGGGTCACAGAGGAAATTAAAGAAGAAATTAAATACTATCTAATTAAGTGATAATGTCGATACAACATACCAGAACTTATGGGATGCAATGAAAGTAGTCCTCTGAGGGAAATTTATTATGATGAATTATCACATCAGGAAAACAGAATCAGTTGAAATAAATAACCTAAAGTCAAACCTCAAACTTCTAGAAAAAGATCAAACCCAAAGCTCGTAGGAGAGAGGAAATTATAAGATCAGAGCAGAAAGTAATGCAATTGAGACTAAGAAAACAATACAAAGAATGAATGAGTTGAAGAGTTGGTTCTTTGAAGATTAAATAAAATTGATGAACCCCTAGCCAACCTCATCAAAAGAGGAAAGAAAAGCCCAGATTCAAGCAGTTAGGAATGAAAAGGGGGGAAATCACAGTGGATCCTGCAGAAATCCAGATCTTCAATACCTACTTCATGAACCTGTACTCTAATATGGAAAACACAGAAGAAATGGACAGATTCCTAGAGATATATGAATTGCCAAACTGACTCAAGAAGATATAAAACCTGGTATCAGTCAGGTTATTTAGAAGTTGAAATGTAACTAAAAATTTATCAGCAAGTAAAAGCCCAGGTTCTGATGGATTCACTGTTACCCCGATACCAAAGCCAGAGAAGGCCCCAACTAAGAAAGAGAACTGCAGGCCAACTTCCCTAATGAACATAGATACAAAACTTCTCAATAAGATACTGGCAAACAATGTAGCAAATCCTCAAGAAGATTATACACCATGACCAAGTAGGATTCGTCCCAAGGATGCAGGGAAGATTCACCATATACAAATAAATAAATATAACACACCATATCAACAGAGCCAAAGACAAAAATCACATGATCATCTCAACAGTTGCAGAAAAAGCATTTGACAAAATCCAACACTCATTCACAATAAAAATCCTATAGAAAATTGGAATAGGTAACTTTTATCAGATTGAGATAAAGATCATCTGTAACAAAGCAACAGCTAACATTATACTAAATGGTCAAAACCAGAAAGTTTTCACTCTAAAATCAGGAACAAGACAAGGATGCCTGCTATCACCACTCCTATTTAACATAGTTCTGAAAACATTAGCCAGAGAAATTAGACAAGAGAAAGAAATGGAATAAGGATAGGAAAGGGAGAAGTTAAATAACCATTACTTGCAGATGACATTGTTTACATAGAAGACCCTAAAAACTCCAACAAAAGACTTGTAGATTTAATAACCAAATTCAGTAAGTAGTGTAGCTGGATACAAAGTCAACATTCAAAAATCAATAACATTTGTGTACACAAACAACAAACTCATTGAGAGACAAATTAGGGAAACCACACTCTTCACAATAGCATCCAAAAAAAGAGAAAATCAATCTAACTGAAGAATAAAAGATCTCTATATTGACAATTACAGTACTCTGAAAAAGATCAAAGAAGATATCAGAAAATGGAAAGATAACTCTTGCTCATGGATAGAAAAACTCATATAGTGAAAATGGGCACACTCCCAGAATTGTTATACAGATTAATGCAATCCCAATCAAAATATCATTAGCATACCTCACAGAACTAGAGAAAACACTCCTAAAATTCATTTGGAACCAGAAGAGACTTAGAATAGCAAAAACAATTCTCGGCAACAAAGGCAAGGTAGAGGGCATCACAATCTGACTTGAAATTATACTACAAAGCTATTGTGATAAAATCAGTATGGTACTGGCAAAAAAAAAACGGACCTGCGGATCAGTGGAACAGATTAGAAGATGCAGAAACAACACTACACACACTCAGCCACCTTATCTTTGACCAAGGTGCCAAACATGTTCACTGGAAGAAAGATAGCCTCTTTAATAAATGGTGCTGGAAAAACTGGCTTTCCACATCCTGAAGACTAAAACTAGATCCATGTCTATCACCATGCACTAAACTAAAATCAGAATGGATCAAAGATCTAAACATTAAAACAGAAACACTAAATCTACTGGAAGATTGAATAGGTAGAAATCTTGAGGACATAGGTATAGGCAGAGACTTCATGAACAAAACCCAGATTGTATGGGAAATACTACAAAGAATCAACAACTGGGATGTCATCTTACTAAAAGGCTTTTGCACAGCAAAAGAAATCACCAACAGAGTGAAAAGGCAACCCATAGAGTGGGAAAAAATTTTAGCCAGTTGTCCATCAAAGGACTTAAATCTAGAGCATAAAAATAATTGAAAAAACCAGACCCCTCCCAATTCAAAGACCAAGTCCAAAAGTGAATATCTGAGATGAATATGCTCTTCTCAGATGAAGAAATACAAATGGCAAATAAATATATGAAAAACCATTTCTTCACATATTACATTGCTTTATGAACCACTGGTGTTACATTATTTGGTCTACTACCCATATATTAGATTTATTCTTTTCCTCAATGTATACACCCTTCCTATTTTCCTACACCCTTCCTATTTTCCTAAAATAATTACATAGCATTTTAATTAGTTTGGTATTAATATTTATTACTTTATACTATTCCCATGGGCCACATACGATTATGTATAACTTTTAAATCTCACCAAGGTTAATTTTCTTATTGCTTAACAGCTGTTAGCTACTCAGTATTATATATTTATTACTGTAAAATAAATTTATTACTGTAAAATATCCTTCATTTAATGCTTTTTACCTTGACTTAAACTGTATTTGATGTGAAGGTCTGTTTTGTGTTCTTTGGGGACAGCATTTTCCTGACAGATCTTATCTTTTCAGTGTTTTTAAGTCACTTGTTTTAGAAGCAGCTTTCTATAGTGAGCAGCTGGGTTTTGTGATGCAGTCTGTATTCTGTGTGTGTTGCTTTTAAAGCATCTTCACTGTGTGCTTCCTTTGCCTTATTTTGGTGCATGTGTGCTTTCAGTTGGTTTAGCGGATTTGAGTTTTTATTCTGAGTTATCTGTATGACTAGTTAATCTTTTAATCTAATTTTAATATGCATTGATTCCCTAGCATGAGAAATGATACAGCTAATTTTCATTCATTTTTGCCTCTATTTTAAGTTTTATTTATAGAACTATGTACTGAACACTTCCTTTTCTTGAATTACTTTTCTAGATGCTGAAGATTACCAATGAACAAAACATGAAAATTTTTGCCAAAATTTATATGGCAGTTACCTTTTAGTTTAGTAAAACACGTATTTATACCTCTGTTGCTTGGTATATTAGTTTTAAGTCATTTCTTTTTCCCTCTAGCTGTAAAAGAAGTTCCTATCCTGAATTACATCTCCATCTCCCTTCCTTTTTATTTGTTAATCATTACTTTTTGTAGTTCAATTTATGCATATAAACCTAAAAAGCGTTTTGTTTTGTTTTTGAAAACTGAGTAGCATACGGAACCCAACTGGGTAAGCAGAAGCCTATGTGTTTCTAGTATTCCAGATGAATCCTGCATATGAAATCCTTCAGGAATAATACCTTCTCTCTTACAGATGAGCGATGTGTCTGCAGGAGGAGCCACTGTTTTTCCTGAAGTAGGAGCTAGTGTTTGGCCCAAAAAAGTAAGTGTGGTTTGTTAGGGAGATTTTGTTTTGTTTTTTGTCTCTGTTTTACCCGTCTCAGAAGAAGAGACAGACCTCTATTTCATGGTCTAATTAATGAATTAGGTACATTTTAAAATGTAGTATCCTTAAGGACCTTACCTCTGATTTCTAGACAAAGCTTTGGGTTTTATGGTATATTTTATTATGGCTATCTAGTAAATTGGTTTTATATGATTTTTTTCCGTCCATATTGCTATTGCTAGGTTTGCTATCTTTGTTTTGGCAAACATTCATTTTTTTATCAAGCAGCTTTGTGGTACTAACTTTTTCATATGATCAACTTTTTAAAGTGATACTCACTTTTAGAGTTAAATTAGAGGAAGATATAACGCTACTATGGAGGGAACAGCATTTGTAGACTGTGGAAAATGATAAAGCGACATTTTATTTGTGGTAATTTTGAGTTGTTCTTCACAGGGAACTGCTGTTTTCTGGTATAACCTGTTCGCCAGTGGAGAAGGAGATTATAGCACACGGCACGCGGCCTGTCCAGTGCTAGTTGGAAACAAATGGGGTAACTGTCTCCTGCATTTTCAATAAGAATTTGTGATTTTTGTCTTTTTTTTTCCTGGTAAAGAACGCCACCATTCATTCAATCCCCAGGATTGAATCCAGGGCCTTTTATACCAAGCTATATCCCCACCCATCTTAATGTATTATTATGAGAGCGTCTCTGAGTTGCCCAGGCTGGGCTCCAACTTTTGATCCTCCTGCCACATTCCCCCTACCCCTACCCCCAGCGTGCTGGGATTATAGGTATCACCACTGCATCTGGATAATTTGTTTCATTTTGAAACTAATCTATACTTTTAAACACCCTTTCTCCCATAGCTTCACCTAATATGACATTAACATTGGATGGGATTCCAGCTAAAAGTTCCTGATCTTAATATACATTTGCATTGCTCAGATCAGAATTTTCATGTCAGATTTTAAAACTCCATTTCTAGTTGTTATTCCAAGAAAGACTGACTCGGTTAAAGAAGACAGTATCTTCCCCTCAGGTGGTTCACAGTCTGAGACTATACACTAACAGAGGGACCAGAACGAAGTAGGAAGCCTTCCTCAAAGCTTCCCTTTTGCATTTGACTTGAAAGATTTGCAGGCACATCAGGGGCCAAGATAATTGTCAGGCTAGACAGCACGTAGAGTGCAGAAATTAAAGGGGCACCTAGCACCGTGAAAAACAGATGAATTTTAACAGATATTTACCCCGTTATGTCCATTTCAGTACATCACTTTCCAGCTGTATCTACCACTACTGTTTAAGACAGGAGTGAGGCTTGCTCACCAGGGTTTAAAGATCTGCCCTGAGGATAATGTTGGTGAGCCACAGGCTACAATGAGGAGAGGAGGTGGGCAGTGATGAAAGCCTGTAGAAAGGTGGGGAAACAGGCAGATTCGAGAGACAAGTAAGGACACCGACAGGGTTTGACAAGTAAAGACGGCATATAAGGGTTGGTGAAGAGAAAAGAGCAACTGAGAATTAAGTTACCTACTTGATTTAGTACATGCCCGTGATTGGGTTCTTTAATACCAGAGATGGAGTAGAAAATCAGTTTGGGGGGTACGATTTTAAAAGTACCTTGGCACCAAGGAATCCTCATGGGTACATAACAGCAGTGATAGGTCAGAGTGTTGTTCCTGTAGAGTGGAGCATTCATCTTTTATGTGTCTTTGTTATTTTGAAGGCTGTACTTTGAAAGCAGGTAAAAAATGTCCTGCGTGATCTATACCTGTGTCTTAATGCCACTGTGTCTCATTTCAAGCCTCACGTTGAACACTGGAAGTGCATCGACTCAAATAGCCCCGTAACGTGTGTATACTTACGTCCACGTATACGTACATTTCAAATATGTACGAGATTTTCTGTGTTTCCAAGTTTTAAGCAACATCTACCTTTATATGGCTTGGTTTTGAACTTTTAATACATGTTGAAACTTTTTCATAGACTATCTTTCAGAAGGGAGGAAAAATATATAATTATTGTATTTTTTTCCCACAGTATCCAATAAATGGCTGCATGAACGTGGACAAGAATTTCGAAGACCCTGCACCTTGTCGGAACTGGAATGACAAACTGGCCCCCCTCCCCTCCTGTTGTTGTACTCTAACGTGTCTGATGCACACAGTTCCTGGTCTTAACTTTCAGGGTTTACAATTGACTAACACTCCATGATTGATTCAGTCATGAACCTCATCCCGTGTTGCATCTGTGGACAATCACTTAGTTTGTTGGTTTTCTCTTTTACAAGTAACACTAAATCACCACATTTGATAAAAAGCTTAAAAATTCAGTTGGTATAACAAAGGCAATTTTTTGGTTGGGCAGATATAATTGAAGCATCTGTTTTAGTATTTCATGACATCTGGACTGATGCATGGGGGGCCAGAGCGGGCTGTGTGGCGGAAGCAGGCGTTTCCGGGTGGGTGGCTAGGGGTCCTGTTGGCCCGGTCTTGTTTTCTGGACCTGCTTAAACCCAAGTAATAAACCAGGAATCCCATCCGGGCTGTAGGTGATGTTTGCCCCTCCATACATTATTGTAAGTTGAGTTTTCCCCTACATCCTCTTAAAGAAAGTACATTGTATTTTGCCAATCCTCTTCTCTTACAGCTGCTCTGTGGTGAAGTAATCCTGTTTGAGTTAAAATACTTCAGTCTTTTAAAAACAGAAAGTCCTGCGTAACAACAGTAGACCTTCTTAACATGCTCGTTAGTCTGTTCCTCTTTCTCTTGACTGACTGATGATTTTTTTCCAGAAATTTTGCTTTTTTGCCTCTTATTCTTACTACAGCAGGGTGGTGATACTGGCATTCTGGTTAAATATTGTGCCTTAGGAGACTGGAAGTTTAAAAATGTACAGGTTCTTTCAGTGATGAGGGAATTGATTTTAAAAGAAAATCTTTTTTCTTAAAAAGCCAAAATGTTTGTTTTTTAAAAAATTCTGAAATGTGTTGACAACAATAACCTATTTATGATCGTAAATCTTTTTTTAAAAATGTTTCTGTTTTCTGTGTGATATTTCTAATTTACGTTACTTCTTTAGTACATAGGACCTAGGTTTACACTCTTGGCTTTCACTCACACTGATGCCACATTGTTATGGAAGAGAATTACAAATCTCTGCAAGATGTGCTTTGTTTAGGCTGGGGTGCACCTTGGTGGAGAGCTTGACTGGCGTGGGCCCTGCATTTGATCTCCAGTAGCACTAAAAAAGAAAGAAGGTGTTTTCTTTTGAGACAGCTCTGCCGTGATGATGGGGCTATTACACTAGTGGTGGTCGTGGCTCTCTTCTACTCAAAAATAGGTAGAGTAGTAACAAAGATGTGAATTTAAACATGTTAACTGATCTTGTAGGCCTTATTTTTACCCAAGTATAGAATGAACTTGGAAGTTCCTCTCAGATACCCTTTGCTCCACCATAAATATTTTAGCAAAATATTGAGAATTAAGTTCATCACTATCACCCACTCAGACTGTGCAACCATAGATGGTTTTTAAAAACTTCAGGCTGGAAGTGTAACTGCAGTGAGCGCACACCTTTAGCATGTGTGAGGCCCGGGGTTTAATCCTTGATGCACACACGCCCTTTCTAGGTAAGATGGAAAGAACAGATCCAAAAGTGTAGAAATGAAACAGGTTCAAAGAATGTAAAATGAATATTGTCATTATGTTTTAGCAAATAGAAAAAAAACACCTATTTCAGAAGGAAATTATATATTCCCTGATCTTACAAATTTCCATTATATTCAGCTCAGAATCACATATGGAGATTGGTAAACTCTTCAGCATTAGATCTTATAGAATCCTCCAGATTTTCATTACTGGTGATTTTTCTTTCCAAATTGGGGTGTGGGGGCCGGGGGTATAGCTCAGTGGCATAAGCGCCTGCCTGGCAAGTGCAAGGTCATGAGTTTGATTCCTGGTACAAAAAAAAAAAAAAAAAGTTGGGGGGTGGGAGGTTCCAGTATGAAACATTGAGTCCAGTTGTCATCATGGTTTTCTTTATGCTGACCTTTCAAATGAGTTAGAACTATCCTAGAAAATGTAAGCTTCCTCACCAATTCTAAGCCTCTCCTTCAAGACTACAAGTTTTGTCATGCACTAACTTAGTACCGACAAGTGTCCACCAGAACGTCCTCACCAGTAGGGTAAATCATGGGGTAACTAGGTAAGAACTTCGTAAGGTTATAAAAAGAGTGGAATGACTTTAGGGTTCTTTGACTAAGTGATAAATGCAGTGATGAAAGCAACAGTCAGCCACCTTCTTCAGTAAGAATAAAACAAGTTACTAGAGAGTGAGAGTGTTGAGGAGAGCTGTAAGCAGGAAATAATGTGGCACACGAACTGCTCCATCCGCGTGTATGTGTATAGGGATGGGAAAAGACAGCGTCCTCACGGCACTGTGTTGCCTGCTGTGCGTGACATCCACACAGACGTCAACTGAGCAGCTCAGAATGAGCAACTCGCGTGCAGAACTCCGTGGCTAAGCAGCCGAGTGACTGGGAAACTTACAGGGTGACACTGAAACACATACTTGTAATTGGGTGTAAATTATTTGGTCAGGAATACAACTTGCGAGGAAAAAGAATAGAAAGATTACATTTTAATCTGGATAGCCAGCAATACAAGAAACTCTCCTTTGGTACACCTATTTCTTGTATAGTAAAAGTAGGTATTTTTAAAAGGAATAATATAGAAAGGGATGAATTATCGGCACTACAGTTTCATAAGTTACCCGATTTATCAGAATAAAATAGATTTTGTATTTCTATAATGTCCTTGGATATTTTCCCACCACCCTGATGGTGTTTTGCAAAATTAACTGTATTAACCAAGCAAAGTTCTTGGCCACTTTCTTTTGTAACTTTTACTTGAGAACTTTAAAGTTTATTTTCTGTATAAATGTAGTCTTCAGGGAAGCATAAATGTGACACAAAAAGACCGACTGCTTTACTGTTAAATTTTTTTTACAACTTAGCAGATGTTAGGTTAAAAACAATCAAAACAAGTGGAAACTGGTTTCCTAGAGCCCAAAGTGTCTCTATCTTCCAGCTTCTGCCTTTTGGGGCCTTGGCGAATTTCCTGTACAGCGCTATTCAAGTCAAATTCATCGTACAAAACAGGATAATTGCTGACTCCACAAACTCTAAAACCTGAAGAAAGAAAATCCTCAGAGTTTGTCATTTAGTCTTTATAATTTCAAAATAGGCTTGTTTGTTATATAAACTTGTTTTAGGCTAAGCACGGTGAGAAGTCAGATGAGAGTAGAGCATTTTAAATACAGAATGAGGTGCCGTTAGCATTTCAGTGCTTTTATGGAGGGTTGTATCAAGTCAGCCTTTTCTTAGGTATTCAATTAATGTCTACAAAGAATCAGAATTATTACAATATTTAAAGAGCCAAGTGTAGTTACACCGTTACAATGTAGGTTCTATATGGGTTTAAATAATCGATTTAAATCAAAATAACTACACAATGGTTCATTTTTCAAAACAGTCTTATCCTTTGATTTGTGTATAATCATAGTTAGATCTTAAGACATGAAATAACACAAAAGTTTATGTTCTGTTTTTACTTCTAAAAGACAAAAGAAAAAGTCAAAAGTTGAGGTTCTGTGACATGAAGCACGTTTTAGATATTATCATGAGACAAATCTTTATGAAAAATAATGCTCGTTCCTACCGAATAATGGAACAGTAACATGTTTATTCCAAACATGCTCACCGTATTGGACAGCCTATATGCAATGAGCAAGTTTCTTGGATAAGACAAATTACTAAAAGCTACTCAAGAAGAAACAATCTGAGCAGCCCCTTATCAAGGAAAATGGAATGATTAAAAATACTACCACAAAGCAACATTGAGGCCTAGACGACTTCACTGGTGAACTCTATCAAATTTGTAAAGGAAAATACCAATTCTACACAAATTGCTTCAGAAAAGGGGATGGAAAGTTTCCTACTCATTTTTTTTTTTTGGTTTTTCTCCGGTACCAGGAACTGAACTCACGACCTTGCGCTTGCCAGGCAGGCGCTTTTGCCGCTGAGCTAAATCCCCAGCCCCTTCTACTCATTTTAAGAGGCAAGCTTTACCCTGGTGCCGAAACTCTTCGAAGGCAGAAACAACCAGTTGGTATATCTCATAAACATAAAATATCTTAACAAAATATGAGCAACTCTAGTGCAAGAATAAACAAATGCCTAGGTTGGGATTAGTTCAAAAATATGAGGCTTGTTTAACATTCAAAATTCATTGTAGGGCTAGGTATGTAGCTCAGCGGCACAAGCGCCCGCCAGGCAAGTGCAAGGTCCTGAGTTTGATTCCCGGTACCAAAAAAAAAAAAAGAGATGACAGAAAATATCCATTGCATAATTTACTACTTTGGGCTGGGGATATAGCTCAGTGGCACAAGCACCTGCCTGGCAAGCGCAAGGTCCTGAGTTCGATCCCCAATACTGCCCCCCCCCAAAAAAATTCAGTGTATAGGTGGGCACAGTGGTGCATATTTGTAATCCCAGCTATTTGGGAGGTTAAGGCAGTGAGCAAGACTGCTGTCTCAAAATGAAAAGAAACAGCAGGAGGCAGAGCTGAGTGTTAGCATGCCATAGGTTCAATCCTCAGTATTCAAAAGAAAAATATATAATTCACAACAGTGGCAGGATAAAGGAGAAAATAGTACATGGTCAATAGATGCAGAGAGAGCATTTGACAAAATTCAACACCATCAATGATTTTTAAAAATCAAGAAACAAATTTCCTCAACTTGATAAAAGGCTCTCCCCAAAACCTTGCTGCTATCATATTTAAATGGTAAAAGACTAAATACTCTGCCTGTGTTTGGAACAAGGTGACAGTGTCTGTTTCCTTCTGCTATTTAATGCTCTACTGGAGATTTAGTGCAATAACAAGGAAAAGAAAGAAAAGGCATGCATACTGGAAAAGAATAATGTCTTCATTCATAGACAACATGACTAGTATCTTAGTAACTTCTATTGCTGCTGAGACAAAATACCCGACACTCGAAAGGAGAAAGGTGTTTTTTAGCTCTGTCTATGGAGGTTTCATTCCATAATGAGCTGGGGTGGAAGACAGCAAAAGCAACAAGGGAGGAGAGGGGACAAGGCACTTTCTGTCCCTTACATTGTATGCAGGCTGCCCACCCTAGGGCAGGCGTAGCACTCACACCCTTAATCCCAGCATTGCACTAGGAATCAATCACACAGTCTAGATTCAGCTACCTCCAAAAAAGCCCCATCTAAAACTGCCTGAGGTTTTGGGGAGACATCTACACACAAACCTTAAAAACAGTTTGTCAAATATCATACAGAGGGGCTGGGGATTTAGCTCAGTGGCACAGCGCCTGCCTGGCAAGCAAAAGGTCATGAGTTCGATTCCCGGTACTGGAAAAAAAAAAAATCATACAGAATCTATAATAAAGCCTTTAAACACTAACAGGTTAACAGGAGTGTAGGATACAAAGTCGTATACAAAAGTGGATTAGAAACAACTCTGAAAAATTGTGGTGGGGTATAACTCAGTGGTAGGATGCTTGCTAGCATGCACATGGCCCTGGGTTCAAATCCCAGTAGCCCAATGCAAACATAAAAACAATGTGTGTAACAGCCGCTAAAATCTTACACTTGGAATTAAAATAGGTGCAAGAGCTATATATTAAAAAACATAAGATGCTGAGAACATTAGAGAAGCTCTAAATACATGAGGATTCATATCATGTTCATGGATCAGATGTTTTGGCATTATTTCCTCCAAATTAATCTGTAGATTCAACCCAATTCCAATCACAGTTCAAGCAAGTTTTCCTTTGATAGGTTTATTCAAAAATTTATATGGTTATATAAAGGGCCTACAATAAACAGAATAATTTCAGATAGGAGGCATACAGTTGGGAGATTTACATGACCTACTTTAAAGATTTTATAAAGTAGCAGTAGTTATGATCATGTGTCTTTATAAGAATGGACACAAACCAATGGAACA